ATCCTAGGACATTAATACAAATCAACAAACATGCACAAACATACTCGCTCAAATGGACATGCACAAATGTACATGTAAAAAAACATGCGCAAAAGTGCATTCGCAACAACTTTCTTAAAAACACGAAGTACAACACGAGGACTTTAATACGCATAACCAAACAACAGCAAAAACACAAGATACAAAAGATACAGTGGAGTGTAGAAATAACACTCAACGTTTACGTTTACGTGGAAACTTTTATGGATTAATTTATATTTCTTTTTTAATTGGTGGATTTAGTATTCTATAGGTACAAATTTATAATTAGGTGTCCATGAAGCAAAAATGATCAAAGAGTAAGAAAAAAGTTGCAATTAGGAAAATAAAATCAAAATAGAAGAGAGGATCCCTCAACATCTTCGGTAGCGTCCACGAAGTCGAGCATAACTTTCTCATCCGGACTCCAAATCGACTGGTTCCAGCGGCATTAGAAAGCTATTTGAGCTTGCTACAATACCTGTCTCATGTCAAATTTCCAAATTCGGACTGGAACATGGTCAAAATTGGATTCCAACAGCGATCATGAAAATACCCGCTACAGTTCGAGGACACGAATGCGCATCAAGAAACGTGCACAAAAACACTCGCTACAAAAGATACGCACATAAGTAAAAGTACAAAGTCATGCAAAAAATTACTCACGCAAAATTGCATTCGCAAAAAGGATCATGAAAACGCAAACTACAATCCTAGGACATTAATACAAATCAACAAACATGCACAAACATACTCGCTCAAATGGACATGCACAAATGTACATGTAAAAAAACATGCGCAAAAGTGCATTCGCAACAACGTTCTTAAAAACACGAAGTACAACACGAGGACTTTAATACGCATAACCAAACAACAGCAAAAACACAAGATACAAAAGATACAGTGGAGTGTAGAAATAACACTCAACGTTTACGTTTACGTGGATTTTTTGATGGATTAATTTATATTTCTTTTTTAATTGGTGGATTTAGCATTCTATAGGTACAAATTTATAATTAGGTGTCCATGAAGCAAAAATGATCAAAGAGTAAGAAAAGAGTTGCAATTAGGAAAATAAAATCAAAATAGAAGAGAGGATCCCTCAACATCTTCGGTAGCGTCCACGAAGTCGAGCATAACTTTCTCATCCGGACTCCAAATCTACTGGTTCCAGCGGCATTAGAAATCTATTTGAGCTGGCTACAATACCTGTCTAATGTCAAATTTCCAAATTCGGACTCGAACATGGTCAAAATTGGATTCCAACCGCGATCATGAAAATACCCGCTACAGTTCGAGGACACGTATGCGCATCAAGAAATGTGCACAAAAACACTCGCTACAAAAGATACGCACATAAGTTAAAGTACAAAGTCATGCACAAAATTACTCACGCAAAATTGCATTCGTAAAAAGGATCATGAAAACGCAAACTACAATCCTAGGACATTAATACAAATCAACAAACATGCACAAACATACTCGCTCAAATGGACATGCACAAATGTACATGTAAAAAAACATGCGCAAAAGTGCATTCGCAACAACGTTCTTAAAAACAAGAAGTACAACACGAGGACTTTAATACGCATAACCAAACAACAGCAAAAACACAAGATACAAAAGATACAGTGGAGTGTAGAAATAACACTCAACCTTTACGTTTACGTGAAGTTTTTGATGGATTAATTTATATTTCTTTTTTAATTGGTGGATTTAGTATTCTATAGGTACAAATTTATAATTAGGTGTCCATGAAGCCAAAATGATCAAAGAGTAAGAAAAGAGTTGCAATTAGGAAAATAAAATCAAAATAGAAGAGAGGATCCCTCAACATCTTCGGTAGCGTCCACGAAGTCGAGCATAACTTTCTCATCCGGACTCCAAATCGACTGGTTCGAGCGGCATTAGAAAGCTATTTGAGCTGGCTACAATACCTGTCTAATGTCAAATTTCCAAATTCGGACTCGAACATGGTCAAAATTGGATTCCAACAACGATCATGAAAATACCCGCTACAGCTCGAGGACACGAATGCGCATCAAGAAACGTGCACAAAAACACTCGCTACAAAAGATACGCACATAAGTAAAAGTACAAAGTCATGCACAAAATTACTCACGCAAAATTGCATTCGCAAAAAGGATCATGAAAACGCAAACTACAATCCTAGGACATTAATACAAATCAACAAACATGCACAAACATACTCGCTCAAATGGACATGCACAAATGTACATGTAAAAAAACATGCGCAAAAGTGCATTCGCAACAACGTTCTTAAAAACACGAAGTACAACACGAGGACTTTAATACGCTAACCAAACAACAGCAAAAACACAAGATACAAAAGATACAGTGGAGTGTAGAAATAACACTCAACGTTTACGTTTACGTGGATTTTTTGATGGATTAATTTATATTTCTTTTTTAATTGGTGGATTTAGTATTTTCTAGGTACAAATTTATAATTAGGTTTCCATGAAGCAAAAATGATCAAAGAGTAAGAAAAGAGTTGCAATTAGGAAAATAAAATCAAAATAGAAGAGAGGATCCCTCAACATCTTCGGTAGCGTCCACGAAGTCGAGCATAACTTTCTCATCCGGACTCCAAATCGACTGGTTCCGGCGGCATTAGAAATCTATTTGAGCTGGCTACACATCCTGTCTAATGTCAAATTTCCAAATTCGGACTCGAACATGGTCAAAATTGGATTCCAACAGCGATCATGAAACAGTTCGAGGACACGAATGCGCATCAAGAAACGTGCACAAAAACACTCGCTACAAAAGATACGCACATAAGTAAAAGTACAAAGTCATGCACAAAATTACTCACGCAAAATTGCATTCGCAAAAAGGATCATGAAAACGCAAACTACAATCCTAGGACATTAATACAAATCAACAAACATGCACAAACATACTCGCTCAAATGGACATGCACAAATGTACATGTAAAAAAACATGCGCAAAAGTGCATTCGCAACAACGTTCTTAAAAACACGAAGTACAACACGAGGACTTTACACTACAACAAATTTTACATTTGGCAACAACTAATTTCGTTGTGGAAAGCATATATTTCGTTGATAATTCCATTCGCAACGAAATTATGTCGTTGCTAGCTTCGTTGCGGGTTGTTTGTTACTAAAAGTTCCGGGCAACGACTTAAAAGTCGTTGCATATACATTTTGTATGCGCAACAAATTTATGTCGTGGGCAAATGAATATCGTAGCCAATACATTTAGAATGCACAATGATTGTATTTTGTTGCCAGATAAAATTCGTTGCCAATACATTCTTTATGCGCAACAAATTGATTTCGTCACCAAATATATTTCGTTGCCAAAACAATGTTTATGCACTACAAAATTATTTTGTTGCCCAAAATACATTACATAGACAACAAATATTGTTTTTCCAAGAAACAACTTTATTTCGTTGCACAATGTATATTTATAGCAGCAAAATAATTTCGTGTAAAAAAACTCTTTATGGCAACAATTTATTTTCGTGCCATAAAACTCTTTATGGCAACAAATTGTTTTCGTGCCATTTGTTGTTTTCTTTTTGCCACAAATATATATTGTGCCAAAAAATTCTCTTTTGACAACAAAAATAAAATCGTCCTTAAAAGTAGTTTTACGCTACAAAATATTTTTTTCTGTAAATTTATGATTTAAAATATATTATTTAAATTATTTACATTAATGTGGTGATTGTAATTTCGATGAATTTAATGATAATATTACTATTTTTTAATTTTATTTACCATATATATATATATATATATATATATATATATATATATATATATATATATATATATATATATATATATATATATATATATATATATATATATATATATATATATATATATATATATATATATATATAATTTAGCAAATATAGAAATAAACACGAAGAATAATAATCATTCAATAAAAATAATTAAACCCAAAATGCTAATTCAAAGATCTTAGAGTCAAAATAAACGATACGCATAAAAGATAGCATCCTAAATAAAAGATAGCATCCTAAATATTACAATTTTTACCATATGTTTAATAAAAAAAACATAAAAAAAACATAAAGTAGAATAAGATGGGAAAAGTAGAATAAGATGGGAGGAGAGCGCTCAAACATATTCAGCATAATACTCATGTTCTCACTCCTAGCGAATCAACTTCAATCTGCAAAAACATATATAGTTCAAATATAAGATATAAAACTTTGAATAAAACAAAAAAGAAAAAAAACACAAGATTGTTGTCGGAAATATTACCACGAAGAGTTACTTGGATGTTGTTGAGACTCCATTAAGTCTCGAAGGAGGCGACCATGTTCTTCAAGAGTTGCTTTTAAAGTTTCAACTTCATCTTTTAGCTCAACATTTTCCTTCTCATTCTCCTTTAAAGCTTCTTGAATCATCTGTCTATTCAAATTTGATGCAGTTTTTTTCGGTTTTGGACCATATCCAAGTCCGACAACATAGGAGGACCTCTTTCCGAGAACATGATCATCAACAATTTCATCAATATTTACGCTCTCACCATATTCTTCAACATCATTAATTCTACGACGTTCCATTTCCAACTACAATGAATATAGTCAAAATTACCATGATAAGCAAAAAAAATAATCCTCGTACCGAAATTAATGCAAGAGGGCAAAAAATTACTTACATAATTTTTTTCACATTGCTGAGTAACCCATCCCTTGCCTTCTTTGTAATGACAATGCTTGTAAAATTGAATTCTATCAACTTCAGCGTCATTAAATTCTTCTTCTTGACTCTGTAAAAATAAGATTGAGTTAAATACAAATATTTGCTAAAATAATATATTGCATTATTCAAAAAAAAAAAAAAAATCAAAGTAACTTACAAGCATATGACGAGCTACTACAAATGATCTCGAACCTTGATTATGATTTGTAATCATATTTTTACGATTTTTTTATTTGTTTCGCACCGGTCCTGCCAATTTTGGTTTATTAATTACTAATTACATATACAAAAATGAATAAAAATAAATGAAGAAGGATTGTACCTTATACTTTTGATCACTAAAAAGATTAGTGCATAAAGATTCCCAATTTTGTTGAGTTAAGCCTCCAAAAGATGGCTTATTGCGTATCGCTTCTTCTACCGAATCAAATTTTTTAAAATGTTTATTCAACCTGTGTCGTTGGTACCTACTTCGATGCTTCAAAATTTCTAAGGCATTCTCGACGGTCTCTTCATCTAGATTGTCGATCGTTAAATTCATCTGCAATAACAATTTGTTGAATTTAAAAGGTGTTGTAATAAGATAAAAATATTTTTAAAAAAAATCATATAATAAAAATATAAAAACCTCAAGTAGATCAATAGCCATTGACAACTCAGTATCATCAATGGCCTTCCATTTAATAGGAACCGACATCGAGTCTCGAGAAATTATTCCAAGCTCACTAGACAATTTTGCCGATTCCAAGCTATCAAGAGGCCTTCCTTGTGTTGGATCCATGTGAACCACCAACTTTTGTTTGTTTTTACTGTTTAGTTTGCGAAGAGCAATTCCCCGAGTGCACCCTCGAACATTCTTTTTGGTGATGGAAGCTACATCGGCACAAGAAATATACAAGTTACGTGAATAATAATAATAATAAATTTATTGTACAAAAGAGCAATAGTTTGTAAGAACATATTACATGTGCTATCAGTATGTGCTTGTTGAATAGTATCTTCTTCTCGTAAAGCAGACAATGATTCTTGAGGACCCGTAACTGATTCCCCAGATAATTGGACAGATGGTTGTGTAGCTCTGCTAGATGATGCAATAGTGCGCGCCCGACCACGAACCGGATTAACCATTTCCTTTAATTTATAATCACAAACAATATTGTGTAGCAATTCTTATTTAGACCAATCAATAAACAGTGCAAGAAAGATAATTGTGAAAGTTCAATCGAAGAAGACTCCAATTAAACATCTCTAAAATATAAAAATTAACTCATCAACACAACTCAATGTTCAGTTGTGGCTACAAGTAATTGAAAAAGGTAGAATAACTTAATAAATGAAAGAAAATAAAGCATCCGGAAAGATATAGCAAAGAGCTCATATATTTACCCTTTCAATGCACACGCTAATTGAAAGATCAATTTAAGTTTTTTTTTTCCATATAATTCTACTTGCATATGGATTGCACAAAAAAAACAAAAAAAAGAAAGAAAAAGAAGAACTGGTTTCAGTTCTATTGATGCAATCTATTTAAGAAATAAAATTCTACTTGTTCAATATAGATCTCATACAGTCTGGTTCTTTTCACCGAAAGTGGGAAAATCATTTTTTACATTTACCTCTTATGCCGAAAGAATCTCTCTGATCTACCTGGAAAACCAAGAAATCAACCATGGATATGATGGGTCGTCCTATTAACATATGAATTATGAACATGTTTGGAGGGAAAGAAAATCGATTTTGGGAAATCCCTCCAAACCCTCCTGGTTGTGGCGGGAGTTAGTGCGTTGAGTTGTGAACGTGTTTTCTCTCACGATGCTATTTTCTTTTTTTATGCATTTAAATTTTGCATAACCCCGATATCCAAATGTTTTTAAGAAAATAAATAATTAAAAGGTTATTATGCACGGTGATTTTTTTTTTCAATTTATCTCTGAAAAAAGAGGGATTAGTAGTAAAAAAAAATCACATGATTCTCCAGCTCAATGAAATATTTAATAAATAATGGTTTGGTCCTCACAGTTTTTCCAAATATTAATATTAATTTTAAAATATTTTTTCTATATTATAAAAATATTCTTAACTTTTTTTTATTCTATTTGCATAAATTACAACCACCCCTGAGTATGATAAAATTACGAAACCCCCCTCTTAGTTGGGTAATTACAACAACCTTTCAACTATAAATTTTCTTACATGTCCATCCTTGCGGTTTCAAATTTAATGGAATCTTCTTGATTATATGGAATATTATCACTTTTGTACCCGTTTTTTGGCTTGTATATATCAGATTGTGGTGTATCAAAAACTGTATTTTTACACAAAACGAGTACAAACTCGAGCACATTCCACGGAATCTAGATGATTATGTTGAATTTGACACCATAAGGGTGGAGGTGTAAGAAGATTGTAGTTGAAGGGTAGATGTAATTATCCAAACAAGATGGGGTTTTTCGTAATTTGACCACACCTCAATGTGATGGTTGTAATTTACCCAAATAGAATAAGCACTACTTTTTTCTACAATTTTAATAAAGTGAAGAATTTAGCATTAATATTTCTTATAGGAGTGGACGAAAATAAGTTACAAACAAATACTTAAACTTAATATTTCAATCAAATAATTTTTGAAGTATTAATATTTGAGCCAAATTTTAATTTATAACAAAAATGCAGTGTTATAGTTGCAAATTTCTATAGATTTGCATAAAAAATATTTATAGTTTAAATTCAGGAAGAATACAATTTTCATCCTCATGTTTACACCGATTTCACATTTGATCTCTATGTTTACAAAAAACACATTTGGTCCCTCATGTTTAAAAAATTCAACGCTTTTAGTCATTTCCGTTAAAATTAACGGAATCAATGTGTCCATCGTTATTGTAACTGACGAACTAATGGTAAATTGATGAGAATGACCAAAAGTGTCAAATGATTGATATCAGGACCAAATATTTTTTTTTGTGAACATGGAGGACCAAATGTGAAATCGTTGCAAACTTCCGAGGTGAAACTGTAAATTTCTCGTTTAAATTCTGATCGGGATCAATCAAATTCAAGAAAGTAAGACTAGTATTTTTTTTAAATAGAAAACAAAATTAGCACGGAAAATGTCCAAACTAAGAAAATAATACTTCACGATATCATTTTAACTCAAAGTAAAACAAAATTTTGCATAAGTTAGTACAAAGTTAAATATTGACCTAAACGTTAGTTATTAAAACAAATGCACATCGTTGCAGTGGAAAATCCTGAACATCACATTATGGCTCAATTTATAGCTACTTATCTACTCGTTCGAAATTTATATAGCTTTGCAGTAAGCAACATATATGAGTCTAGTTTCAGTTTCGATTGGACTCAATAATATTCAAAAACAAAAGTTATATTTTCGAACATAAAACAAAATTGGCTAAAAAGTTCGTATAACTAAGTTATATCGAACTGAATCTAGTAATATAATATATGTTATTATAAAATTTTACACTTTTCGAGGCGACTAGTCAACATTCAAATAATGTTTTAGAACACCTAACATAATATCCTAGAAACCGATCGAACAGGTATACAAGCAAGATTGTATTTTAACCTTATAATGATGAAAAGTACATTCTTGAATCATGTTACAAGATAAATGTCACTTGTTAAATTTAACACATAATGAAGAACAACCAAACTTTTAAGAAACACCTAGGTTTAAGAAACTTGGACACCTTGACTATTTTATATGATACGTCCTTTTTTTTTTATGTGCAAGATTCCCCATGGAAATAGTTGTGAGCAATACTGAGTCGAACATTAGTTATCACAAAAATGCAAAACCTTATTGTTGCAAATCCCGAACAAGACATACAAGTTTAGAAATTGATAACTATTTTTGTAGTAGTCCGAAATTTGTGTAATTTTGCTGTAAGAAACATTTATGAGTCTAGTTTTAATTCCAATTTGAAGAAATCAAAGCCGACAAGCAAAACTCATATTTTTAACAAAAAACCACATTGCAATGATAGTTGTATAATCTAAAAAAATAACCCATCATCAAATAATTTTAACTCCAATTACAACAAAATATATATTTGACCGAAGCTAGTATATATAAAAATTTATATTGTTACAAGATTTCATACTTTTAAAAGAAAACGTACTGAAGTAAACAGATTCTAAGAGTCGAACCAAGTAGTGAAATGCGAGGCCAGAGAGATTCGACTTAACCCCTTCAATCGTACTTGAGTTGCCCACCCTTTTTCCAAAGAACTCTCTATCAGCTCAGCTCACCCTATTTAATATAATCGGATAGCTACATTTGTTGACGAATGTAATCAATATCCTATCTCAGTATATATGGGAGTAATCGTCATTTTTTTTTCTTTTTTGTATATTCAAACAGAGAACATTACAATTCAAAACCATAATACTGTTTTATCTCAAAATATAATAGCATCTCATGCACCATAAATGTCTTTTAACATAATGATTATAATGTCTTTGGCCACCTAAGTCCAATTAATCTTGTAATCATCAGTTAGTAACAACATAGAAAGAAACAGGTATTCTTCAACTGACTGCCGAAGTTATCTTCACCCATTAGAGCTCCAATAAAAAGTACTCTGCTCAACCAAGTATGACCCCGATTATTCTTCTAGCCGGTTAGAATAGTCCAAGTTATTCGGGTTTTTTTTTTGGCTTTTGCAATCTATGATCCGACTTTAGTCGAACAACTTTGATTTCACATGGTGCACTGCAGAACAGACATAACGAAACAAATATTGTCATTCCTTTAATAATAATAAACCTATTTTCAAACAGATTGTCGGTTTCCAATATATCCTAGTTGATAAGATAATCAAGAAAATACCATTTGGGAATCGTGAATAAGTCAATTTTCGAACAACAGCTGATTTCAATTGAACAATAATACAAAGCATTCCAATGAAATCTAAGATGATCAAGAATAAACCATGAATGTTGTTTGATATACTTTTGCTGAAGTGCTTTTGCCGGAACATTTTGGCCAAACTTAATAGCTGAATAAGATGTATAACCATAGACATCAACCTGTACTAGATTATTGAAAAATTAATCCAGTGCAGTTGAGAAACAGAGGATATGTTACTCGGCTGGAGAAGATATACACATAACCAAGAAAAATATCATCCCTACATTTAATTACCAACCGGGTAAATAATTCACAAAATCAATAAAAAGAGGATATGCTATGAGGTAATTTTAACATGCAAATGTATGAGTTTTCACTATAAAGAATATTCGATTGAAGCAGAAGCATGGATGATCGAATGGCGGTTATACCCGTTTATTTAACAAAATATGCTATTCGAAAAAAGGGAAAATGCTGAGCGATTTTGATAAGTTCATTACTCGTGAATTCATCAGTAGTAATAAAAGAATCTAGTGATTAAGAGAATACCAGGGAATTTAAAGTTGCATCACCCAGGGGAAGACCATCATTCACAAAATGCTTCAAATGATCACCTGCAGACAATCAACTCAATAAGGTGTATAAGGTAATCGTTGCATTTCATATACACTGGACTATGTTCTAAAATGACACCTCATACATGACATGATCCTATAAAATAATATTTATAGTTGATATCAATAATGATTTGAATAAAGATATATCAAATCACGATTTTTCTATATTACGGGAAAACTCTGAGGAATATATTAAGCAAATAAATTTATTTCCTTAAATTCAGACACTATTATGCTAACAACAAAGAAAAAATCGAAAATAATTAAAAAAGAATATGAAAAAATGTAAATTAAAAGGAAAAATAAGATATAAATGTGAGAAAATCCTATACTTGTGGTGCATAAAATAAAATCAAGACAACATGCTAAATACTCAGTCCAAGTCGCTATCATAATCATCTATGATTTGAAGTTCTTCTTCAATGTCACAATAGTTATTCAACGTATCATCTTCTTCATCAACATTATCGTCAATTATATTAAAATCTTCAATCCCAATCTCCGATTCTTGAATTGCATCAGCCTCGACAACTACAGGATCAACATCGTTCCTATTAAGGAATGTCAATCCACCTACTTCAACTTGAATGATTGGAGCACTAGCAGATCCTGAAGACTCATCTTCTTGATAGACCTCTTCGTCCTCCCTAATCTCTCCATCTTCTATCTCCACGGAGTCAAACAAGTGACGATGCTGAAATTTGATTACTATTCGCCAATCTTTGCCCAGTTTCATATCATCAAGGTAGAATACTTGACTTGTTTGAAATGCAAGTATAAATGGATCTTCCTCATACCAAGTACGACTAATATTTATGCTTGTAGTTTTTCCATCATGTATGATAGATTTTCTATTGGCAAGATTAAACCACTTAGCCTTAAAAAGAATAACATGAATGTCTTTAATGTAATCCAACTCAATTATTTCAGTGACGATCCCATAAAACTCAATAATATTATTATTGTGGTAACCTTCGACCATGACACCACTATTTTGTGTAGTACGACGATCATCCCGCTCCTTAGTATGGAATCTGACTCCATTTACAATACACCCTGGGTACTTTTTCACAACCATATTAGGCCCACATGCTAATGCATATAATTCATTTATGTCATCTTGTGGACTCTGCAATTTCATATGTGCCATCTATAAAGTAAATAAGATATTATTAGAAAATCTCGAATATAAAACAATCTAAGTGACAAAAATTTAGGGAACTTTCAATCCTTTCACTTACATGTTGTTTAAACCATTGTGGAAATTGCTCTTTGTGCCTCTCTTCTATGTTTAGGAAACTTTCTCGCTGGAGTATCTCTCTGTGCTTCCTGCACAGTCATAAATTATTCTTTGATAAATTCTAAATAATAAATAGTTATACTATCTATGCTAAACTATATATTACTTACTGTTGAAATTCTTCTACTTCTTCACAGTTGCTCAAAATATACCATTGAGCCATATGTAGCTCATGTGTAGTAAGCTTGTGATATTTTGCAGCACCAAATGGTCGCGTTTTGTGTGAGAAGACTGACAACTTGCGACCAACTTCAATATCCATATTTCGTTCTTCTTTGTTAAAGTACGTTTCAATTCCTTCAAGGTACATTGAGCAAAATGTCAAACATTCATTGACAATATAAGCTTCTGCAATAGATCCTTCAGGACGAGCTTTATTCCGTACATAACCCTTTAGCGTACCTAAATACCTGTTGAATAATATTGACTTAGCGTTGATTAATAATCAATAATAATATTTTATTATAAACTCAATTAAGACTTTTATATTACCTCTCAATAGGGTATATCCACCGATACTGAATTGGTCCACCTAACAAAGCTTCACGTTGAAGGTGAACAGCTAAGTGTACCATAACATCAAAGAAAGCGGGTGGAAAAATCATTTCAAAGTTACATAATATCTCCACAATGTCTTTCTCCATTTTCTGTACGTCATCTACCCTCAACTTTTTACAACACAGTCGCTGAAAAAAATCTCCCAACTCCAGTAGTGCATTATATATTTCTTTGCTCAAACATCCTCGAATGCCATATGAAAGTAATCGTTGCAAGAGAACATGACAATCGTGGCTTTTCAATCCCACTAGCTTGACTTCAGAAGCATTTGCACAACGAGATATATTAGAAGCATATCCATCTGGAAACTTTTGTGCTTTAAGAAATTCACAAAATCGTTGCCCTTCTTTCTTAGACAATACATAAGCTGCTGCTGGTAAATCATACTTGCCATCATCTCTTTTATTTAAATGTAACTCTTTTCTGATATTCATGTCCTCCAAATCTTTTCGTGCTTTACAGGCATCTTTGGTCTTCTTATCCATGTTCAGCAATGTCCCAAGAATATTATCGCAAATATTCTTTTCAATGTGCATAACATCGAGATTGTGTCTTAGGAGTACTGTTTCCCAGTATGGCAAGTCAAACAAAATGCTCCTCCTAGTCCAATTCAAGTCTTTTTTATCTCGCTTGATTTTTTTTAAATGTGGATGTTTCCCAGCTTTAAACCCTTTCAAATTCATCGTTTGTTCTGATAAATCTTTTCCTGATAAAATGCACGGGGCAATGTTGTGTTCTTCTTTTCCGTCAAACTTGGCTTTATTTCTTCGCCATTTATGGCCACGAGCCAAGTATCGACGATGGCCCATGTAACAAATTTTGCTTCTTAATCACTTGGACCATGTATATTTATTACATACAGGACATGCCATATAACCCTTTGTACTCCAACCAGAAACATTACCGTATGCAGGAAAATCATTAATTGTCCACAAAAGGGCAGCATGCATTTGAAAATTCTGTTTGGAAAATGCATCATAGGTTTGCACACCTTCATTCCATAAATCTTTCAATTCATAAATTAATGGTTGTAAATATATATCGATGTCTTTACCTGGTTGATGAGGTCCTGGAATGAGCAACGACATCATAAAATATGATTTTTTCATGCATTTCCACGGAGGTAAATTATATGGAATGAGAATAACAGGCCACATACTATAAGAAGTACTCATGGTACCAAATGGATTAAATCCATCAGTTGCCAAAGCAAGTCGAACATTTCGTGCATCTTGTGAAAACCAAGGATGTTCTTTATCAAAATTCTTCCATGTTTCAGCATCAGCTGGGTGTTTCAATTCTTTCCCGTCATCTTTTCGCTTATCCAAATGCCATCTCATATCTGCTGCTATTTTCGGAGACATAAAAAACCTCTGCAATCTTGGTTTTAGAGAAAAGAAACGCAATACTTTGTGAGGAATTTTTTTTCCCTTGCCGGAGTTAACTTTCCATCTAGAAGTACCACAAACTGGACACTCTTCACAATCTTTATACTCTTTCCAGAACAAAGAACAATCATACTTGCATGCATGAATTGCAGTATATCCCAACCCCAAGTCGTTCAAAATCTTTTTTGCATCATAGTATGATTTTGGAAGAGTTTCACCATGGGTAAAGCTTTCTTTAGCAGTATTAGCATCATGTCAAATGACTTATTGCTCCATTTGTTATAAACATTTAAATGGAGCAAATGCACAATAAAAGATAAAGTTCAAAACTCCGGACAACCTGGATATAGTTCTTGTTTAGCCTTATTTAATAGTTCATGAAATGCCGCAGGTAGATCTTGACTTTCCATGTTTTCATTTATATCAATTTTTTTATCAAGATTACCGGTACTTTCATAGAAATCTCCAAGATCAGCTAGCAAGTCGTTCACTCCATTTGTGTGATCGCCATCCTCATCCACATCATCATTATTATAGTCATTAATAGGAACCTGAAAGTTAGAGTGTTCACCATGGTGAACCCACCTAGTGTATGCGGTATCTATCCCTCGAATAAGTAGGTGATCCATAACTACTTGTCTACTTCTAATATATGAATTCAAACAATGCCTGCAGGGACACTTAATATCACATTCCTGGCCAACATGTTCTTCCACAAACTTCATAAACGATTTAACTCCATCTACGTATTCACTAGAAAATTTTCTTGCATTCATCCAACTTTTGTCCATTATATATGACCTATTACAATATACAAGATATTCAAGAAACAATTAAAAATAATACATAAGTACATATATGATCAAACTATGTACAATAATAAGTATTAACATTTGATGATATACTAAATTTTCTCATTCTCCACCGTACATAAACCAACACCAATTTCTTTAAGAATATCATGCACAAAAGTGATAAAGGAAACAACTTTTATAAATTATTCATGTCGTATTTGGGCCCTATATTCCAACAACAATGCCAGAGGTGAATAATTTTTCCTAAAAAATGCATAATACAAATCTGTTAACTAAATTTTCCCAAAATACAAAGAAAAAATCTGAAAAAAAATGTTTTTGAAAACAATTTGAAGTTACAGAATAAGGTTGATCATGAAGATTTTGAACACTGTATTTCAACATTAATTTATATTAATGAGGTTTCGTCTAATTAATCATGCATTTGCTCAATAATTGTGTATAACAACAGTATATAATATTTTTCATGTCATAATCAATTATAGTTGTTTTAATCAAAAACAAAGAGGAAAAAAAATTATAAATTGAATGACCATACCTGAGTAAGGTCATTACATATATTTATTGATTCTCTAATTTTTATTTATTGAACATGCAAGAAAAATCATTTATTATTATTCACATATTCAATATAACCGTGGACTTGCACATCATACTTATAACTAACAAATTAAGATGAGAAACATGTCTGAACTCAAGAAAATAAAAACTTAAATCAGAAGCTCAATTTCGAAAATAAGGATTTTGAAAAACCTGAGAAAAATTACGACAGAGCAAACGATACACGATGGTTATCTTCGAATAATATCAATCCATGTGCGAGTCGGAACCTGATTTATTTAGAGTGGGTCTAATTTCACCAAATCTATTTTCGCACAATCAGTAACTTTCTATTAAACTTTAATCTAATCCCAACTATTTTTGCTAATTATGAATGCTAACCTTGGTTTTTCACAGGCCTTTTTGCACAATAGTAGCAGATGATCTCAATTGAAATTACCAAGCCCGCGAGGTTGTGATCGACGAATCCTGGTTTGGGATCCTGTGTTCGGCAAGAGGAAACAAGAGCGAGAAGGCGCTTGATTATGTTCGAGCAATATCTGTTCGTTGTTCGAGTGGGTCTTTGGATCGCTAGTGATTTTGTGGAATAGGGTGAGAGATTCGTTCTTCCCTTCTTCTGTATATATAATTCTGATTTCTCTTCCGTATTGTAATTATGATGTATAAAGGAAAGGAATTCCAAGAGCTGAAGTAGAAGTCAAATCTGTTACGGCAAGTTATATTTAATTTACTTTTGTTTTTTCTTCTTTACTTTTTTATTTTTTTAAATATAATAATCCTAGCCTAGTTATTAACTATTGTTATTTTGTTTGGACGGAATATTTCAAAAAAGTAAAAAAAAATATTTGGTTACAAATATTGATGTTAGATTAAAAAAAAAAATTAATATTTGAAACATAAATTAAGATTAATATCAAATAAGTGTTTTGAATATTAGCCTTTTGATATTCTCTTTATTGAACATGAAATATTTTTATATAATCAGTTTTATGGTATATAAAAAATATGTAAGATTTTTATTTATTTAGCCTTTTGTGGTAAATTATATGGAATGAGAATAACAGGCCACATACTATAAGAAGTACTCATGGTACCAAATAGATTAAATCCATCAGTTGCCAAAGCAAGTCGAACATTTCGTGCATCTTGTGAAAACCAAGGATGTTCTTTATCAAAATTCTTCCATGTTTCAGCATCAGCTGGGTGTTTCAATTCTTTCCCGTCATCTTTTCGCTTATCCAAATGCCATCTCATATCTGCTGCTATTTTCGGAGACATAAAAAACCTCTGCAATCTTGGTTTTAGAGGAAAGAAACGCAATACTTTGTGAGGAATTTTTTTTCCCTTGCCGGAGTTAACTTTCCATCTAGAAGTACCACAAACTGGACACTCTTCACAATCTTTATACTCTTTCCAGAACAAAGAACAATCATACTTGCATGCATGAATTGCAGTATATCCCAACCCCAAGTCGTTCAAAATCTTTTTTGCATCAGAGTATGATTTTGGAAGAGTTTCACCATGAGGTAAAGCTTTCTTTAGCAGTATTAGCATCATGTCAAATGACTTATTTCTCCATTTGTTATATACCTTTAAATGGAGCAAATGCACAATAAAAGATAAAGTTGAAAACTCCGGACAACCTGGATATAGTTCTTGTTTAGCCTTACTTAATAGTTCATGAAATGCCGCAGGTAGATCTTGACTTTCCAAGTTTTCATTTATATCAATTTCTTTATCAAGATTACCGGTACTTTCATAGAAATCTCCAAGATCAGCTAGCAAGTCGTTCACTCCATTTGTGTGATCGCCATCCTCATCCACATCATCATTATCATAGTCATTAATAGGAACCTGAAAGTTAGAGTGTTCACCATGGTGAACCCACCTAGTGTATGCGGTATCTATCCCTCGAATAAGTAGGTGATCCATAACTACTTGTCTACTTCTAATATATGAATTCAAACAATGCCTGCAGGGAGACTTAATATCACATTCCTGGCCAACATGCTCTTCCACAAACTTCATAAACGATTTAACTCCATCTACGTATTCACTAGAAAATTTTCTTGCATTCATCCAACTTTTGTCCATTATATATGACCTATTACAATATACAAGATATTCAAGAAACAATTAAAAATAATACATAAGTACATATATGATCAAACTATGTACAATAATAAGTATTAACATTTGATGATATACTAAATTTTCTCATTCTCCACCGTACATAAACCAACACCAATTGCTTTAAGAATATCATGCACAAATGTGATAAAGGAAACAACTGTTATAAATTATTCATGTCGTATTTGGGCCCTATATTCCAACAACAATGCCAGAGGTGAATAATTTTTCCTAAAGAATGCATAATACAAATCTGTTAACTAAATTTTCCCAAAATACAAAGAAAAAATCTGAAAAAAATTGTATTTGAAAACAATTTGAAGTTACAGAATAAGGTTGATCATGAAGATTTTGAACACTGTATTTCAACATTAATTTATATTAATAAGGTTTCGTCTAATTAATCATGCATTTGCTCAATGATTGTGTATAACAACAGTATATAATATTTTTCATGTCATAATCAATTATAGTTGTTTTAATCAAAAACAAAGAGGAAAAAAAATTATAAATTGAATGACCATACCTGAGTAAGCTCATTACAGAAATTTATTGATTCTCTAATTTTTATTTATTGAACATGCAAGAAAAATCATTTATTATTATTCACATATTCAATATAACCGTGGACTTGCACAACATACTTATAACTAACAAATTAAGATGAGAAACATGTCTGAACTCAAGAAAATAAAAAATTAAATCAGAAGCTCAATTTCGAAAATAAGGATTTTGAAAAACCTGAGAAAAATTACGATAGAGCAAACGATACACGATGGTTATCTTCGAATAATATCAATCCATGTGCGAGTCGGAACCTGATTTATTTAGAGTGGGTCTAATTTCACCAAATCTATTTTCGCACAATCAGTAACTTTCTATTAAACTTTAATCTAATCCCAACTATTTTTGC